ACAGGAGCGGCTGGACGCCGCTGTTACGGTTGCCTACGCTCTCTCGCGCCAGGAGGGAGAGCAGTCGTGGAAGGAATGGCTTCAAAAGGACTTGGACCAGGGGGCGAGATCGGCCCACCTGTGGACGAGACCTGTTGAAGCCTGGGTTCCATCCTCGACGCTTTCGGCTCTCGGCCAGGTGGTGGCTGACCCTCTTGCGCTGCTTAAGGCAGATGGAAAGCGTTTCTCGGCGCTCTGGCTTGCCGACTCGGGTGTTGACGATTTTTCTGACACTTGTGATTTCATTCCCATGGAGCCTTTGTCCAGGATTCCCGAGCAGCTTAGGGCTGCCAGTATAGAGTACGCGGGTAGATCGGCTGTTTCGGTGGATGGTTTCCACATGCGTCATTTCAACAGTCTCTGTGACGGGGCCCTCAGAGTGTTGTCTTGCATCCTTGCCGTCTGTGAGGTTACTTCCTCGTTGCCCCTTCAGATTCGCCTTGTTATGCTGGCCATGCTCCCCAAACCCATGGGGGGACTCCGTCCTATTTGGATTTTCACCTCTTTATATGAGATATGTGGGAAAATACGTAGACAGTATGCGCTGGAGTGGGAGGAGTCCCACATGAGATCGTTCTTCGGTGGCTACGGTTTCAAGAGCGCCTCCGACGTAGTCCGGCGCCAGACCCTTCGCAGTGAGATGTCCACCAGGCGAGGGGACGTCGCTGCCTCGGTGCTTTGGGATTTGTATAAGTTCTACGAGCTGATTGATCTCGAAGCACTAGCGTCCAGATGTATTGAACAAGATTTTCCTAACGTCATAGCTCAGTTATGTATCAACACCTACAAGGCTATGAGGTTCATCAACATTGCTGGTTATATCGATGGGCCCTACAGGGCCATAAGGGGAGTGATTGCTGGGTGTAGTATGGCTACCACGTTTGTTCGCATATATTACATTCGCTCGTTCTCTTCCATTCCTCTTCGCCCATCTACCTCGCTCGACCTTTACATTGACGATATGTTGCGAGATGTGTTGCGAGGTTTGAAGCACGGCTCGGCTGCAGTATTTAAGGCAGCGGTGGACGAGCTGCACTGCGAGGTTGCTCCCGACAAAGCGGGGGTCATTGCCAGTTGCCCCAAGCTTGGAAGATGTTTGCAGGAGTGGCTCGGTAAGTTCGCTGGATCAGGTACCAGTAGCACCGGGGTCAATCTTGGGATTGATGACGCTGCTGGCAAGACTCGGAGGCATCGAGGTCGGAACCCCAAGCAACGTCGCCGAGCCAAAGTTTTTCAAACCAGAGTCCGACGCATTGCCCGACAAAAACGTTTCCTGGGAAGGTCCGATACCAAGTTGTTTGTGTCTGGTCCTTTACCTGGTTTGCTTTACGGGTCCGAGGTCCACGGTGTGAGCGACAGAGAGCTGCAGATCATGCGTGTGGCTGCGGGCAAATGTTTAAGGCCGTCCAGCGGGAGCAGGTCACTCACGGCCGCCTTGGCGATGGAGAACGATCCTTGCTGGTACGGAGTGTGTGCGCCTGTCATTCGGTGGAGCAAGGAGGTTTGGGCTGGTCAGTGCCATTCTTTCCTCTACTCCATCCCGATGTCCGAGTTAAACCGTGCATGGTCTCTGGTGTTCGAGGAAGGAGCCAAGATCACCAAATGGTCCGAGGTCTCTGGTCCCGTCTCGGCGCTTTATTTATCGCTCACGAGGCTTAAATTGACCATGCCCAATTTTGCCACCATCAGAGACCAAGACGGAGTTGATATCCTCCTCACCTTCGTCAGCCCCACCCTCCTCAAAGACCTCGCTCGCAAACAGTGTGTTTGTTTGTTAGAGCGCAGCCTTGCCAAGAAGTGGGAGACGGGATGGGACAGAGTCTGCATGGACATTGTGCGTGCTCAGGCTAGCAGTAAGAAGTATACTGCACTTGGCCAAGGACGCATTCGTAATCTTGCTTGCAACGGAGCTTGTACCACAGATCGTGCTGCGAGCCTTGGATATGATTTGCCTGAAGAGCGACTTCTTTGCCCACTCTGCGGCATCGAGCGCGATCCTATACACCACAGGTTGTGGACCTGCTCTGCCTGCCAGGACGAACGGGAGGAGATCGCCAAGGCCTCAATTCTTGATCAAGCGTTGTCCGATCTGTCTGATGGTGATCGCCTCTTGTTCTGTCGTGGAGTTTTCGAGCACCCGTGCACTGTCTGGCCTGCTCCACTCGCGTCGGGAGGGGCGGAGATCAGATCGGACGGTTTTCCTGAAGGAGAAGACGGGGACGTGGCTGGTAAGCTGTTTTTCGATGGCTCGTGTTTCAGGCACCCGATTGCGGACCTCTGTAGAGCGGGCTGGGGCGTGAGCAGGGTCGATGATGCAGGCTGCCTCGTGTCGTCTGTCTTCGGCCCTGTGCATGCCCCGCTGCCTCAGAGCGCGCCTGCAGCTGAATTTGTTGCTCTAGGCATGGCCAGCTTGCAGAGAGTCGGCCCAGCAGAAGGGCACTCGGACTGTGCTGCGGTAGTCAAGCATTACCAATTGCCAGCCGTGCAGCGTCTCCGTTATAAGCGAAAATATTCTGGTGTGTTTCAGTACGTGAATAAATGCCACAATCTTTCGAGTGTATCTAAGGTGCGTGCGCACCTAGACCCCGAGGAAGAAAACATTTCGGATGATGAGCGTGTGCGCAGGCGTGGTAACGGCCATGCAGACGCAGCAGCAAAAGCAGGAGCGGTCAAGCACCCTCGCCCTGCGAATGCTGTTGACGAAGCACTCTCTCAAATGATTGCTATTTCCAAGACAGTTTGCCGTCTAGCTGCCACGCTGCTTCCGAGATGACCGCGCCTCGACCTGTCTGAATGCGTGCTGATCAAAAAGCCTAGGGCTGAAGGAGGCTTGGCCGGTCCTGTGCATCAATGGAACAGGCGTGGAAAGTTTTGGCAGTGCTCTGTATGTTACGTAGGCTCGAGGGCGAAAGATCCCCCCTTGCCTGGACGTTGCTCTGGGATTCAGTCAGCTGTACGCACCAATCTTGATGTTGCAGACCAGCTCGGCCACTGTGTAGTCGTTCTTACTTGCTCAGACGGTGTGGATTGCTACTTGTGTACAGTTTGCGGTGCTTTCCTTCATCGAGGCAGGTTCGAGAAGAGCGGACTTTCATCTGCATGTTTTGGGAGTCTCAAGCGCCACGGGCGCACTAATTACAACAGAGCCCTACGGGGCCGCCACCCGCGAGAGCCTGCTCTCAGGGTGGACCCCCTCTCCTCTGATCCTCCTCTTCCTCCCTCGGTGCGGGGCGGCGGGACGGGGTTGGAGCTGGGGGGGTGTGACACTTACGATGAAGCAGGACAGCTCCGTCTTGCGGATACCGCCTCCCGAAGGGAGGGCAGGGCCGCGGGAGCATCCTCAAGCAGACCTCACTTCTCATCGGGCTCGTCCGATTAGGTCTCTGCTTCTTTTGAGCGACGGCTCTCTGCTGCGGTTCTCTTCGAACTCACGTCCTGGCTGGAAGCGTCTCTCTCCCACGGGGTATTTATGCTTTAAGCCAGGCGTGCAAAGGCAGCACCGTCACTGCAGGAACTCGCCCATCCTGCTTTATTGTTGGGGCAGCGGTGCGTGGATGTCAAAACAAATCCTTCTCCTGTACCACATCCGCCTCCTCCTCCTCCTTCTCCTCCTCGTCCTGCTTCTCCTCCTCGTCCCCCTCGTCTCCCTCCCCCTCTTCCTCCGCCTCCTCCGCCCTCCTCCTCTGCCTCGTCCTCGCACTCCTCGTCCCCCTCCTCCCTGATCCTGGATGGGAAGGCGGGGAAGGTGCGCACGACGGACGAAAAGACGGTGGATGGTAAACGTCAGGACCATCCGCGGTCCCCCTCCTCTACCCACCATGCCTCCTCTCCCCACCATGCCCTCTCCCTACTTTCCGCATCTATCGCTGTCCGCTCTTTCCGCCATCCTCCGTTTTCTCACGCGTGCCTCCACACTGGACCCCGCATCCCTCCCCCTCCTGACCCAACATGCTCCTCGGTCCCCCCGTCGTCGGCATCGCCCTCCTCAAAACGCGTAGCGTACAGACAGCACATCAAGCCTTACAGGGACACGTAGCATAAGATGTAGTGCCCGACATGCCACCGCCACCGAAGAACCAGGAAGCCCGAATCAACGACAAAACTAAGATACCCCCAAACCCACAATACACGCCGTCGAGAGGATACGCATGGAAACGTCCACCAACAATTCCCTGCACACCCGCTGCCACCAAGAGCATGGGGAACACGCCCAGGAAGCAGAACCACCAGAGACACCAGGAACCAAGACACGGCCAGGACCTGGTGGTAGACATCGTGAAGCAGGAATAGCTGCGCGGCTAAAACACAAGGCTGGAGGCCCTTGGCGAGGAACGGGCCCCCAAAGGCCGACAACATCATGCATGCCACGGTGCGTTGCCCTGCCGCGCCGCCGTGAAGACTTCCGACATCGCCGCGGCATCCTTACCCTCCTCATCCTCCGTCTCATCCACCGCCTCCGCCTCCGCCTCCGCCTCCTCCTCCTCCTCCTCCTCCCATCCTGTCCCTCATATGAAACGTCCGCCGCCTCCTCCTCCCATCCCCTCACCCTTCCCCTCCTCTCGCCCAGTCTTCCCGCCAAGACCCCTCCGAAGCGGTGTCCGCCGGGCGATGGGCCCTGCCACACTCCTCCCTGCGCGGGTGCCTCCGCGCAGCAGGCAGGAGGGAGGAACGGGGAGGAGGGGGTGGTCCAAATCCTCCTCCACCTCATCCTCCTCCACCGCATCCTCCTCCTCTTCCTCCTCCTCCTCCTCCTCCTCCTCCTCTCGGGAACGGCTCGAGTTGCGATGAACTTCTGGTTCTGCCACGGTGGGAGGAGGGGGTGGGAGGGGGGGGATGCAGGAGAGGAGGGAGGAGTGGCGAGGCGCAGGGTGAGGGGAAGGGAAGGGCGGACGAGAAAGAGGAGGACGGGGGAGAAGGGGCACGAAAAGGATCAGGGAGGGATTCGATTCGGCCCGAGGTGCGTGGTCGCTAAGAACTGCGTGCTCAACATCTCGGTGCCGATGCGCGCAAGGAGGAAACGGTCCAGCCAAGAGTCCACCGCCGTGTGGCTGAGGGCGCACCCGTCCTCCTCCGCAAGGGCAGGTCGGCGCGCCCGACCGCGCCCGTCAGTCCGAACCGCGGGGGGGGTCCTTCGTGCCTCTGTCGGCTCGCCGCCACCGTGAGCGGGCCGACGGTGCAATGAGAAGCTCGGGCATCGAGCCGTACACGAAGCATGCCCTGGATGGCTTGATAAGCGAGGGGGGCGGGATCGTGGGGGGAAAACACAAAACAACACAAAACAACAAAACACACACAAACACACACACACAAACACACACACACACACGTGTGTGTTGTGTGTGTGTGTGGCTGTGTGTTTTGTGTTGTTTTTTTGTTTGCTTCCCCCCGTTGGGGCGGCAATGGGACGTCTTTCGCGGGGCGCGGGTCTGAAGCTCGCTTCGACTACGGGGAGTGTTCGGTGCGCGCCCGGGCGCCTCAATGTGGGCCCTCGGGCGTGACAAACAATCGGCGGTGGATAAACCTCCCTTTAGTAAACCTCCCCTTAGTAGTGAAAACGGCCTGGGACCGAAACCGACGGACCTGGAACCGCAAACATGACGGCCGCGACGCCCTCTCCCGAACCGAAAACGGCCAATTCCTGCATCGACGTGTCAGGGTAGGAGGTCAATCCATCTCCGAAACAATGTGGAGAGGCACCGTGGCAAGCGGCGGCGACGATATCCGCACGATGCTGCGCGATGCCCCGCTGACCTCGCCCTCCGTCGCCTGGGGCGCCCGACGGGCGCACCTCCTCGGGCGCTGCTTCGTGGGAGGGGGAGGTAAAAGCGGGAGGGGGGTAATCAGATCTCTCGGGCGCTGCTTCGTGGGAGGGAGAGGTAAAAGCGGGGGGGGAGGTAATAATAAATGTCCCACGGGGGCCTCTTCGGGTCCGCCTCCCTCGCCATCCCTCCCCACGTGCCACCCCCACCCTGCGAGACGCCCGAGAATATCCTCCTTCCGCGAATCGGGTCGAATGCGCCGCGCCGTGGCGTGCCAGCTGCAGTGCACGCGGCGCGTGATGCAAACACGCGGCTTCTCGGCGGCTCGCCTACTCTAGGGGCAAAACAAACCTACCTCGCTTTTGACCACCCTCGCTTCCAAGAGATACCAAGCGAGGCCAAACCACGGCATGTACTGGTCAAGCCGCTTGACGAGAAGGCGTATGGTATGACTTGGTGTTGCCTGGGAGCGAAAGCGGGGTAGGTAATTCACGCTCTGATGCTCAGTCCACATGGGAGGGGAGCGGAAGACGACGGGGGAGGGGGGCGGGGTATTTGCCTCTCGTCCTCGGCGTAAGATCTCCTCCTCCGACGCTCGTGAAGGGGCCCTGGGACACACAAATAAACACACACACACAAGGGAACAGATTCCCCACATGTCCCCCCATTTTCTGGGTCTCTGTCTCCTCCCCCCCTTCCCATATTCTCCCATATCTCACGGGGAAGCGACGATTCGTTGCGTCTGTGTGTCTCTTTCCCTCCCGAGCTCGCTGGGAGCGCGGAGGGAGAGCGATGGGGGCACGCGGGACGCAGACGCACGGCACCGCTGCACGCTACGGAGCATGCAGCCCGTGCGCGCGTGCCCGCGTGCCGGCGGGTCCTGGGGAGCAGGACCCGGCCAAGGGGAGCAGCAGGGAGGGGGGAGGGAGGAGGCGAGCATTATGTCGGGCGTGTCCCCCTACAGGAGGATCTTCGACGAAAAATTTAGAAAATACCCTAAAAATGATCCAAAGAGGCCAACAAATATTCAACAAATAGTCCCCAGACTATTTTTTGATTATGTTTTTTGCTACTTTGGGTGTATTTTTTATGTTTCGTCGCAAATCCCCCTGTAGGGGGACAGGCCCGACTTAAGGCGAGCAGGAAAGAAACGCATCGGGCGTTGCAGAAGAAACATCAGCATCGCACAACATCGCCACTGGGGCTCTGGAGCCACTTTTTCGGCGTCGTGCTTCCAGCTGGATCGATCCGTGAGGGTCCTGGGCCCGACACATGGCGCACACGCTGGTTGCGAAGCAGAAGTGCCACGCCAGGATCCCAGGATTCTCCACTCTTCGCCCTCCCTCGCCGTTCTTCAACCTTACCTACCTCCCCCGTCTGCCATCCACGCCCTCCTCCCTCGCAACCCCGCCCTCGCCCCCTTGAATTCCACCCCGAGCATCTCACGGCTCAGGGTTTGTTGAGACATGGGCTCCCTGGCCTCTGGAGGAGGAGGAGGAGGAGGAGGAAGAGGAGGAGCAGAAGGAGGAGGAGGAGGGGGATGGGGAGGAGGAGGATGAGGAGGAGGTGGCGGACCCCTTCGCCGTGGCCGCCGACTGATCATCCCGAGTATGGCTTTTTGATGATACTGGGGCCGGGACACCGGCCCGCAGAGGCAAGACTCGGGTAACGAGTGCGTCTCCAATCCCAGGTGGACCTGGGCCAGAAAAACATCCGCCACCGACATGAGACCCGCCGTCGGCCAAAACATCCAAGGGTACACGTCGGTCGGAAGAAGTAGGTAGAAACATGAAGTAGGAAGGCGGATATAGTAGATTGGGTTCAGGCACCCCCAGAGAACAAAACAACACAGCAAAAGCGTGCCGATTCTTGAAGTACGAAGGCGCTTGAAGTAGATTGGGATCTGGGGATCTGAAATAGGGGAACAACAAGTGACATAAACATAACAACTCGGAGCTCCGCGCGGACTTCTCGGATCGGCGCTGGGGCCCCCCGGCGGCGCCTCTGGCGCCGCCCCTGGCGCGCTCCGCGCAGCTGTCGGCCACAGAGGCGCTCCCAAACGGGCAGGGGGCGGCGGTGATTCGCCGTAGGCGTCTTTGATCCCGAAGTTGGGGGGAGGAGTAAATGATTTTCGCCCGGGTTGGCTTTCAACCGGTTCGTTTCGCCCGGTTCGTGTCGCTTTCGCCCGGGTTGGCTTTCGCCCGGGTGCGCTTTCGCCTGGGTTGGCTTTCGCAAGGGTTGCTTTCGCCAGGGTTGGCTTTCGCCCAAGTGCGCTTTCGCCCGTGATCGCTTTCGCCAGGGTTTGCTTTCGCCCGGGTTGGCTTTCGCCCGGTTTGGCTTTCGCCGGGATCGCTTTCGCCAGGGTTTGCTTTCGCCCGGGATGGCTGTCGCCTGGGTTCGTTGTCGCCCTCATCTTATTCCTCTCCTCCTCCCGCGACTGTCCTTTTCCTCCTCTCTTCTTCTGGCTCCTCTTGCCCGCGGCTGGAGCTCCGCTGGATCCCGCAACAGCACTGGAAATACAACCCCCCGCCTTCTTCCCGGACGGCCTGACCTGCACATGCACGCCGCCCTGGCTCAGGCCCCCCCTGAGGCCCAAAGTCAGCCAGCGCTACGTGCTCCCCCTGGCAAAGCTAGACGCGTGCTCACTCGAGCGTGCCTCACACTTTCATATCCCGCCCGCCCGACACGCCCCGCCCGTCAGGGTCTGCCGGGCCCGCCCCGACCAGCCGCGCCCGTTAGGGTCCGCCCGCCCGACCCGACCCGCCCGTTCGGATTCAGGCGTGCTCACTCGAGCGCGCCCCACACTTTCCTGCCCCGCCCGCCCGACCCGATACGCCCCATTAGGGTCCGCCCGACCCGAACCCACCCGTTTGGATCCGCCCGCCCGCACGCGTGCTCGCTCCAGCGTGCCCCACACTTTAGTGTCCCGCCCGCCCGACCCGACCCGCCCCTTAGGGTCCGCCCGCCCGACCCGCCCCGCCCGCTAAGATTCACGCGTGCTCGCTCCGGCACAATGTCCCGCCCGTTGGATTAGACCCGCCCGTTAGGGCTCGCCCGACCCGATACGCCCCATTAGGGTTCACGCGTGCTCGCTCGGGCGCGGCCCACTCTTTAGTGTCCCGCCCGCCCGACCCGTCCCGCCCATTAAGGCCCGCCTTACCTGACCCGATCCGTCTCGCCTGCTAGGGTCCGCCCGCCCGACCCGACCCGCGTGGGTTCACGCGTGCTTGCTCGAGCGCGCCCCACACTTTATAGCCCCGCCCGCCCGACCCGACACGCCCGTTAGGATCTGTCCGACCCGACCAAACCCGTCCCGCTCGTTAGGGTCCGCCCGCCCGACCCAACCCGCCAATTCGGGCTCACGCATGCTCTCTCGAGCGTGCCTCACACTGTAGCGTCCCGCCCGCCCGACCCGACCCGCCGGTTAGTTAGGGTCCGCCCGGCCCGACCCGTCCCGCCCGTTCGGGTTCGCCTGCCCGACCCGACCCGCCCGTTAAGGTTCACGCGTGTTCGGCCCGGCGCGCCACACACTTTAGTGTCCCGCCCGCCCGACCCGACCCGCACGTTAGGGTCCGCCCGACCCGACCCGACCCGTCCCGCCCGTTCGGGTCCGTCTGCCCGACCCGACCCACCCGCTAAGTTTCACGCGTGCTCGGTCCGGCGTGCCCCACACTTTCTAGCCCCGCCCGCCCGACCCGACCCGCCCGTTAGGATCTGTGCTCACTCGAACGCGCCTCACAATTTAAAGTTCCGCCCGTTCGGCCCGACCCGCCCATTAGGGTCTGCTCGACCCGACCCGACCCGACCCGCCCGTTAGGGCCCGCCCGCCCGACACGACCCGCCCGTTGGCACCCGGGCCCAACCCCGGCGGAAGCCACCCCCCAGCGAAACGAAGCCCAGCGAAAGCCAACCCCGGCGAAAGCCAACCCGGGCGCTAGCCAACCCTTGCGAGAGCCAACCCAGGGTAAACAAAGCCCAGCGAAAGCCAACCCAGGCGAAAGCCAACCCGCGCAAAGGCCATGCCCGGCGAAAGCCAACCCCGGCAAGAGCTAACCCCAGCGAGACGAAGCCCGTCGAAAGCCAACCCCGGGGAAAGCACGCCCGGCGAAACGAAGCCCGGCGAAACGAAGTCTGGCGAAAACCAACCCCGGCGAAAATCATCCGTTTCTAGGGGGAGAGCGTGCCGTGATGCGCCCCCTGGGCTCCGCAGGGCAGGCCGCATGGTCTGGCTGCTGCTCTCCGGCCGTGCTCGGGGGGGAGGGGGGTCCGCAGCACCGCTCAGCGATCTGCTGCGCACCAGACCCTTCAGGATGGGCCCTCTCCGTGCGGGTGGTCATGTGGTGAGACCGAAAGGGGGGGGGGGGGGGGGAAGAGGGCCCTGGACGGCCCCCGTGGCAAGCCGCCGCCCGACCTTTCCCCGATCTGTGCGCCTCCGTCGTCGTCTTCATCGTAGTCGACGACGACGTCGTCTCTGGCGTGGCGGTGGTGCGTGTTGCACTGCTCGGGGCTATACTTCCCTTTGCTGGAGGAAGGCGGAACGACGTGAACCTAAACGGTCGGAGGTCTACGCAGATGTTTTGGAGCTGCGCTGGGCCGCGCAGGTGCGAGACATCCGTGCGAAACTCGACTGCAATTATTCCTGTACAATGACAATTTGTCATATGCGTGGAATTACAGTTGATGTTGTTGTTGTTGCTGCTGCTGCTGCTGCTGTTGTTGATGTTGATGTTGTTGTTGTTGTTGTTGTTGTTGTTGTTGTTGTTGTTGTTGTTGTTGTTCTATGATTGGTGTTTCTTATATGGTGGTATAGTGCGAGGCAACTGTTGTTGGAATGTGGTATGTCTATGTATTATGGTTTGTTTCGCGTGATCCTATTTTATATTACTATTGTTATACATTCCGTGCAAGAGAACGCTTGTGTATAATTGCAATTGTTGTTCCTCGATTGGGGGACATCAACCTGAACCTGCACTCCGCGATGCATCGCCAGTAGATCGGCGATAGGCCCCTGGTCGCGAATCCGCACGTTTCTGGGCGGGGAGGGGGTATCAGACCCCTGTCGGCGATCAGAAGGGGATGGGAAACGACGCGTTCCCGCACATCCCGCCGCAGTCAAGCTCCCGGATTACCCCTCGCAGGCGCTCTCCTGGAGCTCGTGCATCGCCTCCATGAGCATCGGCAAAACCTCGGAGCGTCTGTATCAGGGCGCGAGGCGCCCTGACGATCGAGCGGGTGACGACTGACAGGCGCGAGGGTATGGAAAAAGTAATGAGGAAAATACTGGAGGCCCCGCGCGGCAACTTGGGACTCCATTTACGTCGGATCCACGTCGAATGTACGTCGGATTCACGTCGGGTACACGTCATTTTCACGTTGGACTTGCGTCGGAGCATCGCCACGCAAACGTCGACCTATATCTTGGGAATCGGACGTGTGGACTAGAGTGTGCGCCGCGCGAGGCCTCCAGGATGTTCACTGACTCATCGAGAAGACAACTCCTGGCTTCATGGGCCCTGGAACCGGCAGGCCAAGTGATGTAACATGCTAAGAAAATGTGGCTCGTGATTATGAGAGGTGTGAAAGACGGCTCACCGAATTGAACAAACACCTGAGCCAGAACTGGCACAAGAACCTAACACGCAAGAACAACGACGGCACAAGAAAACAACCAACGGCGATGGCACGGAACAACCACAAACAAACAGAACGGGTAACGAAGAAGGCCATGCAATTGTCAAGGCCCACTAAGCCTCCTGGGAGGAGGCTATTCGACCACATCAGTCGGCTGCTCAATCATGTTCAGCCCGACTGGCCCAAACCGGGCTATGCCCGATGCGGGCGTGCTGAGACCTTGCAGGAGGGAGAACAGAACGATTGCGCACGTGAAGGAGAGGCGGAAGAGCTGCAGAAACAAGAGCGGCCCGACACACGGGGCGCCGAACAGACCCAATTGCCTCAGTGATTCAGTGCCGACGGAGTATGATCGATCGACACATTGTCATGGCGAGGAGCAACGACTTTGTGGCAAATTTACGTCGCGATGACGTCGGCGCTGGTTTCTGACACCGCGTGGATCTTTCAACCTTGGACGATCCCCAGCTTTCCCATAGCGCAGGCGAGCGATCGGCACATTGTCACGGCGAGGGGCAACTACCTATGGCAGCTTCACGTCGCGGTGATGCCGGCGCTGGTTTCTGACACCGCGTGGACCTTGCAACGTTGGACGATCCTCAGCTTTCCCATAGCGCAGGCGAGCGATCGGCACATTGTCACGGCGAGGGGCAACTACCTATGGCAGCTTCACGTCACGGTGATGCCGGCGCTGGTTCCTGGCACCGCGTGGACCTTGCAACGTTGGACGATCCCCAGCTTTCCCATAGCGCAGGCCGTCCAACCTCGGCCAACTCGAGCCATCGCGGCCTTGGAACCCCTGCTCTTGGGGCGCCGCCGCGTGTCAGCGCGGCGCGAACCCGCAGTGGAGGCCAGTCCACAAGGAACCTTCCACAAGAAACCCAACCATGAGACCCCAGGACGTCCACTGCAGATTGGTGTTGGAACGTCACGCTGCTCCTAGAACAGCCATCGAAACCCAAGACACCCAAGGCAATGTGCAAAAACATCGCACGGCTTCTCCCCTTGTGGTCGAGGCCTCCTAACCCGTGTCCGATTGGATGGGGTCGGATGATTGCGCCACACCGTCGATGATCGGCGATGCGGCTCGATCATGCATCGCCGATGCATCGGGGATGCGTCGGGGATGCATCGGCGATACGGCGCACTCCTTCGACCCCATCTACTCGGACAACGCCGGGCATTCCTTCGACCGGGACGACGACGACGACTGACGACGACGACGACCACGACAACGACGACGACGACGGCGCCGAAAATCGCCGATGCATCGTCGGGGCTGCGGCGCGGTTGTTCGACCCCATCTGCTCGGAACCAAGTCGGAGGCCTGGTGCTGGGGGGGGGGGATGGGCAACCAGTCTGAGATTCTCGTCTGCAAGGACTCCCGAGACTAAAACAGGGCTAGGATCGGGATAAATCGCTCCAGAGCGTTCCGGAGCGCTCTCAGAGCGTTCCGGAACGCTCTGGAGCGGCCGCGGCGCCCAATAGATCCTCCAAACCCGCCGATTCTCAGAGATTTCGAGTTATCCCGATCCAATTTTGTCCCGATCTTCGCGTCGTTTTAGCGACCGTCGGACCACGCGCGCTTCGGTGACGCGCGCAGGCCGACCTCACCAGACGGTCCTGTCGCCGAGGAGGCAATCTTCAAGCTCGCGTCGGCCCGCGAGCATGTACACTCCCCGGCCGAGCGGGGCCATCCGTCCTGGCCGTCCTCCTCCTCCTCCTCGCAATCCTCCTCCTCCCACTTTTCCTCACACTTTTCGTCCTCCTCCTCCTCCTCCTCCTCCTCCTGTTTTGGAGCGAGGCGTCCGCCGCCGTGCCTCTGGGCACGGAGTGCGCGCGTCCCCTGGCCGCTTGCCTCACCCCTGGAGCCTGAGTCCCCAGCCCGGAGGAGTCTTCAACGGGCCCAGACCCAAATTTCAGAAATCTCCTGGGGCGTGTCGCGCGCCCTCTGGGCTCGGGGAGGTGCTCTCGCATGACTTTCCCAATGTCAGGGCGGCCCCAAGAGGGGGACATCAAAAAGTACCGGACCTCTCCCGGGGTGCGTTCTGACCAGGATTTCGAGGCGAATCCAGCGGTGGCGACGAGGGCCGCCCAGGAGGCCCTAAAAGGGGAAAACGGGCGGAGGGTAGAGGTACGGGTACAGTCGGAGCGTTGACCCAAGGAACCCTAAATAAGGAACGAGGCCCCTTTCATCCACAAATTGAACTTCGATTTTCCGTCGAAAACCAAAGGAAAACCCAAGACAAACTGTGAAGCAATCAAGGAACACGGAGCCCCTCCCCAACCAAAAGGGTTCCTTCTTCAGGGCCCCGACTGTACCTCTTTCTCGTCTGACAAGACGGCCCAAGAAGGGCCCCGAGCGACCTCCAAGACGGCCCCGAGACGCCCAAAGGCCGGCCCAGGGCGCCCAGGACGGCCGCACGACGGCTCGGGAGGCCCCCCAAGAGAGCTCCCAGAGGGCTCACAGGAGGGCCTAAGATGCCCAAATCGCTGATGCTCCTGTCGTTTTGGGAAGTTCCCGATGCTCCCAGACGACCCTAGAAGCGGCACCCCAGAACCGCCCCAAGAGGCGGGAACACGAGCCGTAAATCAAAGCATTCCGTCCCAAGAGGCCCCCAGGAGGCCCCAGGAGGCGCCCAGAAGGCTCCAAATGGGCCCCCAAGAGGCCCCAACACGGTCCCCAAGAGGCGTCCAAACTGCCTCCAAGCGGCCCGCGAGAAGCCTCCCACGAGATCCCAACGAACATCCAATAAGCTTCATGGCCACAACCCATGCACGGTGGCGGGATGGGCCGAAGGCGATTCGGTCCGCCGCCCCCTGTCGATCTCCTCGCAGGGGAGCCTGGCGTGCTGGACCCTCTGGTTTCTTTGATCCCAAAAAGCTCCCCCTGGGGCTTCGGCCCGTCGCGCCAGCCACCCGGAAAGGACCTCAAGGAGCACAATTCCCCAATGTTTCGCTCAAGATGGCCTCCAAGATGGCCACGTTGGCCCAAGATGGCCTCCAAATCCGCCCGAGATGGTCCAAGACGGTCTCCAAGACGGCCCAAGAGAGTCCAAGACGGCCCAAGACGGCCCAAGAGGACCCCAGAGGCCTCGAAGACAGCCCAAGAGGCCTCAAAGAGGTCCTCCAGGAGGGCCCGAAGAGGCCAAAATCATTGATTTCCACTAGGTCTTTGGAGGATTTTGGAATTCGCTTCTTCTCGGCTTTCCGACGACCCAAGACGGTCCAAGAGGCTCCCAAGATCGCCCCCACAGCGCCCAAGAGGCCTCCAAGATGGCCTCAAGAGGCCCCCAAGAGGGCACAAAGACGACCCAAGAGGCCTCCAATACGCCTAAGATGGCCTTTAAGACGGCCCTGGCACAGGAAGCTTTTAAGACGCCCAAGATGGCCTCCAAGACGGCCCTGGAGCATTCCAAGAGGGCCCCAAGTCGGCTCAGAGAGGCCCCCAAGGGCCCACCAAGACGGCCGACGATGACACTAAGATGGCCCAAGACGGCCTAAGAGGCCTCCAAGAGGGCCTCTCGGAAGGCCCGAAAAGGCAACAATCATTGATCTATCGTGAGTTTTTGAAGGATGATGCTATTTGCTTTTTGTTCGGCCTTCCGACGGCTCGAGACGGCCCAAGTGCCCCCAAAGATCGCCCAAGAGGCACACGACGGCCCCAAGAGGCCCCCAAGACGGCCGAAGAGGCCTCCAAGACGCTCAAGATGGCCTCCAAAACGGCCCAAGGGCCCTCCGAGACGTCCTCCAAGTCTACGAGGGTGTCTCCAACGCCGCCAGATATTATCGAAAACGCGTTCGGCGAATCACCGCCGCCCCCTGCCTTTTGGAAGCGCCTATGTGGCCGAACGTTGAGGTCAGACCTGCCAAGCTATCGGACTATGTATTCCAAAAATCTGTTTGGAAAGCTTTCGGGGAACACGTGGGCATCTTGAAGGACATCTTGGCCGCCTGGAGGCCGTTTTGACCCTTTCGGGCACCTCTGCAACACCCCAGAGACTGCCGCACTGGATGCGGCAACGGAAAAGGACGGTGAGGAGGATGCTCGAGGATCGAGGAGACCCCCCCACCCCTCCTCGAACACATTCTGCCCATCGGACGGCGTGTTCGCTGGACCGCTGTTTTGTTTGCAATCGCGCAATGAAGAAAACACTGAAGACGCACAAGCGTCGGAATGTCAAAAAGGACCTTCGCGACCGCAGAACACGTGGCTAAGATTATTATGCCCTCTCGAAAGCAAGAAACAGTAAGCAGTCAAATGGCACAGCACGACAATATTAATTGCACGAGAGGGCCCTGCGAGCTCGCTGATTAGGTAATACCGTTTGGCATTGCCTTGCATAATCACCGCTGGTACAACAGAATCCGAATCGTTGTCAGTCTTCGGACTCCACCTCGGGAAGGTTCCGATGGATGAACTTGAGAATCTCTGGCATCTTTACACCCTCCACGAGATTCACTTCCTGTCCACCCCTATAGAACAAGAAACAAGGCTTGCTGGTCGAAGCAAAACGCTCCGCAAACTCAGAAACTAAGGTTCGATCCACCTGCGTGATCGTGCACCTGTCGGAAAAGAAATCCACGCTCACCTGAAGATTGTTCAACGTCGGCACTATGGAGAGGCACGGGCCACACCAGGCGGTGTAGACGTCCACGATGTGAAGCTTCTTGCAAGTCTTGTCCGAGATCTGCTTCTGGAAGGCATCTACGTCGAGCCCGTCTTTCCCGACGGTCATGATGGACTCCTTGGACTGTTTCGCCATGGACTGGCACCTAGCGGGCACCGGGTGGACCGAACTCTTGCTTCAGCCGAGACGGCTTGATCCAAAAATGGCCTGGGCCAAAATGGCTATGGATGCTCACCGCACAGCGTTTGGCCCCACCGAGTTTAAGCCGAAGGCGCCCGACAGCACTGTTTCTGCCTCTTTCCTCAGGGCGTCCCCGCGGTGGGCTGGACGGTGACGCAAGACATATGCGCAGACCTCCGAAACATACTTTCTGTACACTCTTTCGCCATTCGATTCCCGACCCTCTCCTTTGCTCACCCGTTCCCAATCTAGTCGTCCACCGTCTTCCTCCTTCTATATCTGCCCCACTCCTGATACAGTCGGGGGCTTGACCTAAGGAACCCAAAATAAGGAACGAGGCCCCTTCTTTCCATAAGTTTAACTTCGATTTCCCGTCGATTGCCTAAGGAAAACCTGAGGCAAACTGCGAGACAATTAAGGAACGCGGAGCCCCTCCCCAACGAAGAGGGTTCCTTCTTCAGCGCCCCGACTGTACCCCGTGCACCGTCCCTCCTCTCGCCACCCTCACTGACCCCCCCCCGACTACTTGGGCCGAGCAAGCAAGCATGAATCCCGAGCTGGCAAGGCGGGCCGAGCGTGCGCGAATGCGGGGGCAGCCATGATTAAGCAAACCTCTTCCGTAAACAACAACTCGGCATCGCTCGGACGTCGATTCCCTGAGTTTTTTTCCGGTTTCGTGCGTGGCTTTTTCGCCAAATGATCAAGGTGCTCCTCGATGGTCCTCGCCGAGGAAAAAACGCACACGCCCCAGCGATGCCAAGACAACTCTCGGAGGTCAGCGCGGATTCCTTGGATCGGCGCTGAGGCCCCCCTCCCTGACGCGCGGACCGCGCCAGGGGCGGCGCCGGATGTGCCGCCATGGGGGTCCAGCGCCGACGCGAGAAATCCTCGCGGGGCTCTGACAATTTATGTGTCTGCCATTTTCCTTGGGATCCCGAATCCGCGTGGTGACAGACCGAGCGGTGACCTCCGCAAAGACCTCACCGCAGGCTCTGCCACCACGCGTACTGGGGGACCCTGGAAGCCCCACATGCCCGCCTGGGAGAACAACCCGATTACAAAACCGTCCTGAAAATCCAAATGCCCACTGACTCACCACACGGTGTGGTCACCATACCGTTAGGGTCCTCCAGGTTGTTTCTTCAAGTGGAGGGTACCTGTGCTGCCTGAATTATACCGCTGCTGCAGGGGGTGGCTGTACTCTGGACTCTCGGGCTAGAACTCGGGCCCCAAACTCAGGCGGAGGGCAACGGGTGGACAATAAACATAGGGGGGGATCGAGGATTGCGGGAAAGTGGCCGTAAAGGAGCCCTGAGCGGCCCGTATACGGTTCTTCACCCCACGTTCGTCGCCACCCGGAAGACATGTACTTCTCAACCCGACAGGATCGGGCTGTGAGAATTAAAAGAACAAGCCTCCCGACCCGCCCACCCCACATACCACGGCCGCCAGATCCCCAGGTGGTCCCCGATGATCCCGCCCCGCGCCTCTCCGATGAACAGAACAGAGCCCAAAATAGCACAGGACACATTATGACAAAACGCAGCATCAAACAACAGAGCATGGCAGACCACAGCATGACAGAGCAGACCAGAACGGCGCATAGCACAATATATACATACACACATATATATAGATATCCACATATATATATATATATATATATATATCACAACAAAACAGAACAGTGCAATACGACTACTGCTACTACGACTGCATCGAACCCCATCAGCCATCAAGGCAGAAGAAATATGGCGAATTTTCACTTCAACCTTTCCTCTTCCTCTCCGGGAAAGGCTTACCCCCTCCCCCGTAATGTCAAAACGCGGTTAAAAACATCATCATGTGGGGACAATGCGAAAACTTACTCATTC